ATGGTTTCAGTTCATGACGGAAAGGCAAGATGAGCTTGCTTGCGCCTGGTCCCAAAGGCACGCCGTCAACAGAAGTGGGGCGGAATGAGTCAGCGTGTGGCGGAAATTCACGTGCGGCTCATCGTGGGTACCAGGTAGCGCTATCGGCGACTACAGATGCTCAGACATCCGCGCGTTAGTGTGATGGCTTGCATTGCGGACGACGGCTCAGCCTCTGAGACATCCACTGTAATAAATTTGGTGAATCACATTCGAGTACTCGCAACCACCGCCATCAGTTTCCTGTACTGTGCCATGTCCTGACGTCCGAGCTATGCAGGCTGGGCGAATGTCAGCTCCACCGATGACTGTGGCCTGGGCGGACATTCACTGACGCCTGGATCAAACTTTGGGTGGAAATAGAAGACTATGTCACAGACGGTCACTAACCCTGCTAACTATTGGCGGAAATCCACCCACAGCTGCAGACACCATTACCTTCGTGTAAAGAATCAGGGCGGTAAACAGCAGGATCGACAATGAAACCGCAATCCACATCCTGATAGCCAGGCTGAAGGACGTAGTCGAGCACCTATGTGTTATACTTCTTAACGGTAAATTTAAAGTTTGCGAGGTTTTCATCCAGTTTACGGTGGCATGAGCAGTTTATCAAAGCCAGGCGAAAAGAGTACAGCACGCTTGTGTGAGCTGTCTTCGAAGGATATTGAATGTTTGGTAAACAAGAAGAAAGCAGTTCGCTTCCCAGAACTGTGGCCTTATTTCTCTGAGCTTTTGAATTCTTACTGCAGTCCATGGTCAGAGATAAATGCGGCAACCAAAAACAAGCAACAGTTATAGGGGGCAACGGCCAATCAAATTCGTGAATGCTAGGTGACAGGATATAGTTCAGTATAGTTCAGTATATTTAGGGTAATAGGCAATGCCTTTGAAGGGCCCTATTGAAAACAGTATGCATGAAATATCCAACATAAAATATGTCACTATAAACATGAAATATCCAACATAAAATATGTCACTATAAACAGTGAGTAACATATATATATGCATAAAATATGTCACTATAAACAGTGAAATATGTTACTATAAAAGAGTAAGTAACATATATACATGTACAAATTTGGCCGCAGGTGTGTTAACGTGGCGTGAGATGGACTCTTGTGTGCATAATATTCCAACATAAAATATTGATGTCTCCTAATTAGCAGGGCTGCTCAACATTTCTACCAAGCTGAAGCACACTCAGCTTACTTTGATGATCTTATAGTGATTGAGCATGAGTCCTCAAACACAGCAGCGTGTATTTTTTCGAGATGAAAGACAGGAGCTATCTGCGGGGCCACTCGTAGAAACGACAATGGTTTCCCTGGAAGTCACGTTTATTGGCTGCATACTTGCAGCCTTCTATTAAGCAGCGTCTTGATAATGATCTTCAGGTGTATTAATCCCAAAAACAGCTTATTCCATTTGCTCCATCCTTTTTTAAATGTTTTGATCAGATCTTTTGTGGGTTGTTGTGAATGTTCAAATCCCCACTATTCGTCAATCTCACTTTAAAACATGGACCAGGGTCCCCGTCGCATGCCAGGAATGTGCAGCCGACTGCGTTCTGACATTGGTTTTGATCGCAAGCTGTTGTAACGGTGGCCAGGGCTGCAATATTCATCGTCTAACTACGCCTCGTGTGAGCTCCCAAGGAAGAACACAACAAGAAGTGCGCAGAAAGTATAAGTCTTCGAGATAGCCTAGTACATAAATAATAAATAAGTAAATTTTATATTTTAGGCCCGGAGGGCCTCGTCATTGCAAGAGCGCAAGTCAGTCACAGAAGAAGGCTCCAGGTTATATTTCAGTGCGCATAGCGGAGAGGCGGCAGTATTCACGGTCCAATCAGAAAGGACGGAAAATCGATAATTATTGACGCGTTGTCAAGCCGCGGCGTGGGACTTTGCGCTGCAGCTGCACTGAGAGCCTAAGCGTTGTTGACTTATTATGGGCGTCTGCCGTCCCAACAAAAATAGGATAAATACATAAAATATTATAATTTCTATGGACCCAGACTTTGTGGACACCCTGTATATGTATGGCAGAGCGTGCCATATCCTCGGTGGTTCTTCTGTTTGGGCCGGGGCCGAAGGCGTAGGCATCGGTTTATAAATGCTTTTGGATAACCGGTCCGCATTTATAACTGAAACCATTACTGTAAGCGATGTCCTTCGAGGCACGGCGCTAAAAGTCTGTTGTTACTGCTTTACATAAATGATATTTCATGGACAGTTACGCATTCTCAAAATTATATAGATGGTGTCCCCAAAAAATATATTCACATAGTAACTTATCGTAAAATTGGTGCTTATCATAATCTTATTATCAAATAAATGTAAAAATATCTACAAGTATAATTTTAT